TTCTATGAAGAACCAATAATATTCTAATTTAGCTAATTGTGTTTGTACTGACACGCAAAAATCGAAACGTTTTCTAATTGCGTTTGTGCTGACACTCAAAAATCGAAACGTTTTCTAAATTAGCTAATTGCGTTTGTGCTGGCGCCTAAAACGCAACGCTGTACTACCATTCTAAAATTAACGTCGATCATGGGATTTTGCAGGAAGATTTTACCATGTGACTCACTTATCTGATTCATCAGATCGGCTTGCCGTAACACTATGTTATGAGGCTCTGAAAAAGTTTCCTTGAATGTATTGTTACCACGTGCTTGATCAATATTTTTTGCTTGTCAAATAATTTGATCCAGAGAGTTTGATTCATGAGTCTGAAGATGAAGTAAAGAATGAAAGTTCTCCACATAATAATCGTTAAATAAGTGAAGATTTTGTTCAATGACTTGTGCCATCGGATGTTGTGTATTGAACCAATAAAACACATCACTGAAGAAAGCTAATGGGAGTTTATTATAATTTTTTTCTGCCATACCTGAAAAAGAGAGTCCAAGCACGAAACAGTGCATCCATATATGCTGGCCAATGTCCACTCCAAAATATCACAGGATAGAAGTCTAAAGCCAATGGAGTAATGTTATCTAAAAGATCTAGTAGATATCTTACCTCAATATCCTTACACTCTCTGAACTTTTTAATTACAGCTGCCCTTATCATATTCCATCCACTAACAGCTAGTTCAAGCAATAAATTGATCCTATAGGGTTTAGGCTTCTTTGGTAATGGTCTCTTCTTCATATAAACCTCACAATACATTTGGTTGAAAAAAGCGTAATTAAACATAAAAACCGTTTCACGGGCATTTAAAGAAACACGCAGTGGACCAATCATTGGAACAATATGAAGTAGTAAAGGTGATAGTTCAAACCTATTTCCGGAATTGAGACAAGATGAAATGGCACATCGTACATAGAACTGTCCAGGATAATCCATTGGTGCTGCAAGTATATATTGTTCAAGATATGATTTCAACTCTGGGACATCTAAAACATTCTTCAGCGCTTTTATGTAATCTTCAGTAGAACGTAAGCTTCCTTCTACTAAATTTACAAATTTAGTATTGTTCATACTTCTATCTACTTGTCGTTGTATTAATCTGTTATCATAACTATGAATTAAAAGCATCTCCATAAGTTCTTCATGGTTAGATGCTTCGGGTAACTCTCTAGCAAATGCTAACTTGTGTTCATCATATGTTAACCAAAGATGAGGGAATATTGAATGCTGCACTTTTTCGATTATATTATCGGAATCAATACCATTTGGATTAATAATATCTTTACCTGTGTACGAGTTTGTAAATGGAAGAGCTGGAATCGCAGGTGCTGCTTTCAACAAGATAGTGCGGAAATGATGAACTTCAGAGGTCATTGTGTTATCAGCCGTCTTTTCGTGTGGATGTTATGGTAGTCATCAAATCATTCATCTATCATTGATGTTAATACCAACATACATCAGTACGGGTAATAGAATATATATAGAAATTCACTTATGAATTTTATACTTACATATTCCGACCCGAATTTTCCAACTGTGTCGATGTGATTCGCTTCCCGTTTCTTTTTATATCTCGCCACTATTTCAGATGCCTGCTCCTGCAATCGTCTCAAATGCTGTAGATAATACACCTGCACTGTCCAAGAGATACCCAATCTCTGCTTTAACCCCGTTAATAAATTTATTATTCAATCCTGCTAAGAAATAACATAATAAAACTAAACATCATCTGTTTCTTGTATTAGTCATATGGCTTTTGTTATGCGGGTTAGTTCCAATGTAATGCTGGTCAAAAAAGTTTGATAAAGACGGTTCAGCATTTCCCAACATAACCTGAAATTCATCGGGATCGAAAATGAGTCCCTGATTTTCCTTCCTTTGCTTGTGTACAATATGCCAGCCATCAGTTTAATCTTCTTACTCAAAGGTATCAATTCTAATAAAAATTGATCATTTTAGTGGGCTGTTAACATCCAGTGATAAATATAAAGCTGTTTACATACCCAGCTTCGTTTCGTCAAGCTCTGCACACACACCATGGTATGCGGATTCGAGTTCCTGAAATTGAGACTCTGAGTAAATGATATCGCTGCATAACACATATAACCTACCTTGAAACCTTTTTATATTTTCATTTGATAGCTTCTCAACAGGAAGCAGATAATTGGGTGAATCGACATATTCAGGATCGTTATCAGATTTATACAAGCAGTGACGACACATCAATGCCGTATGCGGTAGTTTGAAGTATTTCGTTAAGCGTTCTGGTACTTTCCTGAAATTTGTTTCCCCTTTCCCTGGACATGCCGTAGATGCATATATCTCATGCTTGGGATGAGAACATACACAGGTCTTTTTACATTTCTTTGCATTCACAATTAGTTTGTTATAATGTTTTCTGCACAAGGCCTTACCAACCAAGTTTAAATGTTTGTTCACCTCTGGAATAGCTACTCTATCTGACACTATTGTAGCACCATGCTGTTCATAATCGCATATAACTTCTCCCATACCTTCTACATCACAGCATTGCGCCTTTCTCTTACTTTTATTGTCGTTGCTGGAGACAATATCTCGAGACATTTTGCAAAAAAGTAAAGGTTTGCGTTCTTTGAATGCAATGTCTAGCTAAAGACTGTAGAGTGCAAAAAAAGCGTTAGTAGCTAAGTTGCGAATTACCTCACCGTTTTCAAAATTACTTCCACAATTCGTAGAATGGAAGGTACGATTTCGAAATTTGTCGGTCTTGTTCTTGGCCAATTGTTTTCCGTGCCACCAAATCGTTTAAAGTCAGATGATGGTATTTTGATATGTTGTGTTACATTTCATCGATCATCCAATCACAGTGAAAGACCGCTTTGCTTATGTATCCATGAAAGGTTTGTGGAAGAACATGCGCGAGTAAAATAAAAATCAGAAATCCATTCAAGGCGGCTACGTACGAAGGGCCACAAATATTTCAAGAGCAGTTTGACAGGTAACACGGACAATACCGTTAGAGAAGGCTTATTTATGTATGTAGTAACATCATGATATGTTTATTTAATATCGTGTCATATATTGAGGATATTATTAATTATGTCAGACCAACAATTTTTACTAATGCGGCCAAGATGGAAAAATATGCTTTGGATAATTTTACTAAAATTAAAACAGTTTGCGTTAATATGGGTGTGAAACTGTAATGTCTTGAAATGCGTTAACGTAAATAGTCCGTTGGATTTAGTGAACATACACTGCAACATGGAAGCGTACGTGTAAAGCGACTAAATAAAGGAAGCTTAAAAAATTAAAAACTTTTATTAATACTGTATTTAAACAAAAGTACCTGCTTACAGCTGTCTAGAAAGTGTGTGTGTTTTATCATTATAATTATTGATATTCTTCTTCTTCTTCTTCTTTTTGCTATTTTTGAGCAGCTTTCTCGGTACCATTTATAATATTTGTTTCGGCTTACTATTACGTAATCACTATGACAAAAACCTGTTAAGAAGTATAGACAGCGACACACTCTAGTATCTAGGAAAAATTCTGGTCTAACGAATGCAGTTCAAGAATTCAAGAATTGAAAAGAACAAGCGGTGATGAGAATTTCTCTTAAGCGTGAAAGTGAGCATTTTCTATGAACTCATGGTACAGACTAAATAAACTAGAGAAGTTTCTTCCAAGGGACTTGTCTTTATAGACAATGAGACGATTTGCTTCGTTAACCAATTGGTCTTCCTAAACATAATGTACAGTTGTCCAAGCAGTCTGCGCGACAGACACGACGTAACGCTAACAGAAAAAGATGCATCTAATTATTCTTGTCGTTTTCTAGAGAATTTGATCGGATAAAAAAACCGTTACGCCTCACATCAGTAGTTGTAAAAACAATATTTGTCAGTATAAAACTCCCGTTAATATAAAGCCTTACGCTATCAAAATTTCATGGCAAATACCAACTTACCGATTAATAGAGATATTTGTTGTGTTTCGGCTATTTCCGTATACAAGACAGAGATTACGTTATCGTTAATTATAATTGCATTCTGTTTCATTCAAGTGTCAGATCGTCTTGACCCCGTATTTCATTCCTATTGCCCAAGAACACATTCTATTGAAAGTAAAGAGTCGGACTATTTTTGGAGGTGGGCGGTAAGGATAGACATATTAAGGCATCGTGACCAACTCTTGCATATACTGTACTTCTTTGTTATATTTAGAAAAAGACTGTTCTCGTGTCCATAATCATGTATTACATACAGTCGCTTTGTGACGGATTTGTCTTGACCCTTTGCTCAGCCATAATCGAACTCCAATACATGAACAGCGTTAGTGATATTGAAATGGCTGTGGTACAATTAAAAACTCAACTTGCTATCATTGTCTTTGACGAATTACTGGTGTTGCTGCTTACAAAGGTTCTATCCAGCAAATTACCGAATCCGGCGATGACAAAGAGTAAACAAAGACGATAAAACTCTGAAAATAATAACAATAAGAATAAAGGTAGCGATTGTTAAATTTTACGTAATTATTTTTACCTTATGCCAATTACATTAGTTATTTTATTGCTTGTTTTCGATTTTATCACTTGTCTATTATGTCCCAAAAATTGTGTAACCCGGTTTATATTACGGAATCACATCAGCTCCAAAGTTCGCAGATGTGACTAAAGACAATCCCGTCGATACCACTTTGGTTCCCCCCCTCCGTGTGGAAGCAGATGTAAAATGATAGACTTTGTTTCTAACCTTTTATTGATTTCAATTATTAGTAGCTTATTATAAACTGCTATTAAACTGGCTACAAAACACATATCAGAACAAAGCATTGTTTGTGCGAAAGTATCAAAAATTGAAATAAACAAAAATATGCCACTTATTGTTATGCGATTATATTAGAGGATTAGAATTAAATAGTTAATTAAGAACAGTAGAGAATAAAATGTAAGATTCGGCTTATACGTACGCAACGATCCAACTTGAAAATACCAGTTTCTTAAAATTTGTCTGCCGCATTCTTGTGACCACCGTCCTGCTCTACACTAATAAAGAGTTACTATTATTATTCTCTAATTTGTAGCCGGAAAATCAGCGCTAGAATTTGAGGACTAAATTATGACCAGCCAATATACAGTCATCCCTCATTTATATCCCCACCTCGGAACCGAGGCTTTTTGGGGATATATCTGAAGCGGGATATAACTGAATATATTAATTGAGTAACACAAACAATTTTATTGGGTAATATATTCTGTTAATAAGGTCTGGCGTCTAGACATTTCTACTGACTCATCTAAACGTCGAATTATATCACGAACGTATCTAATATCTTCTTCAGTTGTAATTCTTTTTGTTCTAAAAATTTTTTAACAGTCTCAAGTGCTTGTCTTCCCACTTTCGTAGAAATAATTTCTTCTTCCTCCTCGCTTGAATCTTCTTCCATATGCACTTGCATTTCCTGTAGCACACCTTCAGCCACCAGAAATTCTTCCAAAATCTCTTCTTCTGTAGGCAAATTTGCATTTATTCTAACTCGACATATTCTTCTGCAGTCATATCCACGGAAGGGTCTGCAAGCTTTAGGCAGTTGAGACTTGAAATCAAATTGGTTATGTCTTCATCGATTTCATCAATATCCATTTCACTTGTCGCCTCAGGTAAGATTTTTGTATGTTGCCTATCGTGGCTGGTTTTACATTATTCCAAGCATCCTTCTTTTCTTTTAATGATATCGATTTTATCCTCAAGCGATATATTTTTTTTTCTTTGTTTTCTTTGTCTTTCTACGTTACTTGAGTTTGCGAGGTTAGGGACAAAAAATTTAGTAAAGATTGTAAATGATTTCGAATTTCGTAAATATTAATCGAGAAATACTTTCCTTTATATATCTTCGATATTGTTACAACAAAAAGTGGCATGTTATAATGACCTGATCGAAAAGTGGCATGTTATAGTAATAATGACCTGATCGAAATGGCGTGTTATATGAGCTGATTTTTAAAGACAATGGTATTTATACTGTCGTGCTACTCAGATCATAGAATGAGCGAATAAAGTTTCTGGTGACAAATGAACATTTAAGGAAATACTACATAAAGTGCGGCCCAAACTTGTATGCCACACCAATAAACTCAAGTGATATTGAAGTAGATCGCCTATATATAGAAATGGCATGATGTTTTATGTAACACAATAGCATACATTGTGAAACGGGGATATAAACGAGTCCCAATAAAGTTCTAAATTATAAAAAAAAAAACGAGTCCCATGATCATAACAAATGGGAAATTGGGATATTGGAATTTCGGGATACTTCTGAGGGAAATTTATACAGAGATACAATAGGGGAAATCCGTCCAGCATCAAGACTGGGTTATTATTATATCCGAGGGACGACTGTACGAAGTCGATCATTCGCCGATCATTTTTCGATCATTTCAATAGTAAACTTCAAAATGCTACGACCTTCGAATGAAAAAAGTTACGGCCTCTAAACTTTGGCTGCAGACAGTTTAACACCCGTTTCATCATCTGATGGCTATTTTTTTTTGTTTATATTATGAAAAAAGTTAAAGAAAAAGCGATTTTAAAAATTTCTAATAAGCAAACTAACGTTTAGGTAAAAAAAAAAAGCCATCAGTTTGTTGGTAAATAATTCGAGCGTATTCAATTTCAATTTCATGAGTGTACCCGTTCTCTATCAGGCTGGGTAGGAAATTAAAGCTATCATAGCGCCGGTCACCATATCAACCTTGTGTAACTTTCTTAATCGAAGTTTGTAAAGGAATGTCTGAAGTGGAAATACTATTTCTGCCCCCACAACTGTTTTCTGAACTAAGCCGTATTATTTTATTATACCGATAATATGAAGAGGGATAAAATTATATTTTAATGTTATTGTATATCTACCTATATATTTATAGTCGGGAACAACGCACTTTGTTGAAAATGTGCTTATACGGAGGTTGTGACTATGTAGAGGCAATAGCAATTGATTCTCAAACATGATGTGCTTATAAACCGTTTTTTATATCATGTGCTTATAGAGGGGGGTGACTATAAGGTGAGACTGTATATTGTTTGATAATAAATTATCTCCTGATAATCTTTGTCTTGCCTTTCTCGTTATGAAACACTTTGGCACGAATAACATGCTATATTTGCTATGCAATTGGTGGGGTTTAATTAATTAGTAAGCTAGTAGATTACCGATAAGCCTCATTTGGAGCTCTAAATAACATCCAGAATTACAATAACGTGAATAAATAAGTGAACCGTTACATATCCATCGCCCAATTTATCATGTAATAGAGTAGTAAACAAAAGCAATAGCGTTATTTATTCTTTTTTTTTATTTGGATAAGATCGTTGTTTTGCTGTGCAAATAACTCATAACCAATAATCGCTCTTAATATAATCTTATTTGGAATTAGAGTTTTTTTTTAAAAAAATCGGTAGATTGGGCGTTCTGTAAAACTTTCGGCGTTAGTATTGTTCAAAAAATCTATCTGTACAACTCTTAAAATAGTAAAAAAAATTTATAAATCATTTTACTATTTACGTTAGCAGCAATTGTGCGCGTTTTACATGGATATTGAAAACCGCTATGCATAATACATTACTTCACGTAGTATATATTTTTGTTTTGGTATAAGCCATGGCACAGCAACTGTGTACAAGCCGTTACCACATAAACAACGTTTTTGCCTCTCTTTCATTTTGTTCCTGCTACTCTAAACATGAATGGACTAAGCCGAGCTGTAAGTTGGTCGTTTATACACGGAGGCGCACGTTTACTTACTACACATCGTTGACCGGCATTGTTTTACCTTTGAAATGTATGCGCATTTGTACGCACGTCTTCTCAATATACTGCTAACGTCTCTGTTTCTCTCTCCCTTCTTTCGACATTCTTTTGTTTGAAAATAGGAGATACCTTTTATTACACGTATGGCCCGCTATGTGGGTGCCGCCAATAATGGAAACTGGCAGGCGGTCGCCACTGCACATCAGGATAATACGAATAATAGTAAACGAACAACAAAAACTTACCGGGATATGTATGTATCTATAGGTTTTGGGTTGGGTATGCGTGAGGAGCTGGCTAGAGGCATGTGTTTGGTACAGTAAGAGTGTGTCAATTAGATAGTAATTAAATAATAAGGTGTTTTACTTGGAAAATATTTACATGTTAATACTACGCTTGTAATTAGGCGTTTATAACGCAGCCCATATAATTACTCGTTCTTCATTAATATTATAATCTATTAAAAATTTGTCGTTAATTTGCTGAATTACTTATGTTTGGAGTGTATAGTACGTAGAAAGTTAAAATGCGATAATACTTACTATTATTTTGCGTAAACTAATACCGATAAACCTTTATTTTAAAGTTATCGGAAAGAAACCGGCGCTTATACCGGCCGTGTGGGACGGCAAAACCGATAGTTTACTATTTATACTATATCGACAACTTAAGACTTCTGTTACCGGCCCCCGAATCTCTTGGACACCTCTTGGACACCTCTTCTTTGTTATAATCTCCCAATCTAAGAAATTAAGATTTAGTATAACATAAAGCTGACATCTAAGCTTGCGTTAGCACGTATCTGTTCAAATACTTATAAACTGTAAATGTTGTAAACAAATTTCTGATCTTTACCTAACAGTGTTGAGTAAAGAGGTCGAGAATAAAAATTAATATTTGAAATTCGACACAGAGTACGGGATTGCTCTAGGAAGTAATAAAAGCTTATTAGATAACTGGTCCATGTAAACAAGATTGTCAAGTTGTTGTATTCTAGCCATCCGTGTTAACTACGTATGAAATTGTCCGATTCTTCAGGATTTACAGATACGTCTATATATCCCCTTCTTTTTTTAAACCATGCTTAACATCAATGCTGCCGGCTTTGAAGAAGAGAAAAAAACCCCTTACCTATAAGAGTCCCCAAGTATTTACTGATGCCCGATTGTTGTATGTTATACACGTACGTTCAAATGCAAGTTGAATATAAGTTTCTATCGTCCGCTTACCGGATGGAGTGCTAGAAATTAGAACAATTTCAAGAGGCGTTAGCAGAATGAAATACGATAAGTGACCTTATTTTATGTAACTCATGATAATTCAAAGCAACACAATCAATTCTGGTCATTTTTGCTCAATTTTTACCGCAATTCACAAAATATGTCGGTCTTGTGCTATTTTGGTAACTGGTTTATATTGTTGCTATTAAAATAGCAATTTCGTGGGGTCCTACCAATGAGTTCCAACCGATTGACTTACTTATTTACAAAAAAGACCAAGGCGCATTGATTGACCAGTAAAATTCGTATCAAATGCAGATCGATATTACTTATTACCTGCATGTCGCCTATTTTAGAAAGATCTGATGAGAACTGCTCGCTAACCTTTTTGGTCCGAGTGGCTTGTGTTTTTATACATTCTCCGAATAGCACTGTTGTCTAGACGGTTTAGATAAAGTTTTAATGTTGGATTTCGCAGCAAATCGTCGATCATCAAATTAGCCAGTTAAACTTGAACGTTTTTCCTCCTGATTCCAGCCGTCTTGTGAAAGTTTGCTCTCTCTCTCTCTCTCTCTCTCTCTCTCTCTCTCTCTCTCTCTCTCTCTCTCTCATGTTTCGTTAACATGTGTGACCCGAAAGTATTACCGCCCCTACATGATAAATGTAATGCAATTGATAATAACGATATACGTACATTACCTTAATTGGTGAGACTATAACACAAAAATTTAGGTTATTGTTATTTAATTTATACAAAACATCGAGATACCGGCGGTTTCCGCTCACTTCGGGTGTTGGGATCAGCAATTGTAATTAAATCGTAACGGCGACCTTCCTAGTTTTGGGTGCAGTAAGTTTTTTTGAGTAAGAAATCGTTTCTGCTAGATAGATATTCCATATTACATTGTATAAAACTATACCAAGTTACATCAAGTGAAAACACATACCAAGCGCAGAATATCGTTAACAGTGTGGATATTCGTAATAAGCTACTATTATATATCAAGTACCAAGTACCCTATTTTGTTATTGACGCAAAACCTTTACTTATTAATTAGTACGTTTACCATAAATGCGCTAGGTTTAGTCGCTCTATTTTCAACTACGAGCTTTGACAAAATTTTTCCAACTGTTTTACTTTCATGTTCTCTGTAGCTTCTTTTAAACGTAGAGAATGGTCACAATTATACAGATTTGCATTCAGAAGAAAGTATAATTAGAAGATTTGAAGCCAATATATCCTTATTTGCCAAGTTGTACGCACATCAGATAATTGTTACTTTATTTTAAGTGTTTAGATAATCAGAATCAATGGTAAAATCAATGAAAGAATGATAAGAGAATAGATAACGACTAACAATTATGTCGTGGTTATGCCTGATTGTATCTTGCGCTTGTACAAGATTTGTCAAACTAGACAGCTTGACATACACAAATTTTAATTATGTAATCCTAACATCTAACACTTTATTTGACAACGAACACAGAAAATAAATAATAACAGGTAAAAATACCAATATTGAAAGTCTTTCTTGGCATGACTGGTTTACATTTGTTATTAACATGCTTAGAATTGGGGTAGAATTCGTTTTCGATTTTGTGACCTGACCTCCGTTTTTTGGTATTTATAACTTGGCATTGTTTACATGTGTACATAATATTGAACTCTATTTTGTATACAAATAATAATAACACAACGAGTAATTTGCTGCCTAGCTGTCGTCAACTAGGCTCATGTTTGTTGGTACGTACAAGGCAAGAAGACTTTTGGAAACTTCGAACGTTATTTCTGCATAACAAATACCTATAACTATAGCTCAAGGACGGTAAGCGTTAAAACAATAGCTTGTAAATCTCACGAGACTTAGTTTAGAGTATGGACAATGTTTAGTCGACGAAAAAAAAACAACCTTTTGCATACGAGGTGTATTAGTAATTTAGACTATCGGCAATCCTGATGTAGGAAGCTTGAACAAAAAAACAACCGATGGAGCAATTTCATTACCAATAAATAGACTTGGCGATCTCCGGTGTTTATATACTGTACATAAGTGTAATATATATTACATAAATAGTATAATATTAATATAACAAATAGCTCATTAATATTAAAACTACAGTTTAAAATGATTGTTAGCAAGTGAGAAAACATTTCCATCCTTCCCACAAATTATAAATTCGACTTGATAAAATCCGCACAACGATATTCTTGTCTATCAGCCAATCAACTCATTCTTGTAACATATGCATGTATATATATAGTGATAAGGCGCTGAATGAATTTCCAAATGCGAGCAGACATATTTGAATTCTAACAAACAATTAGCTCACTCGATTAGGGATGTGAGCAATTTCCGTTAAAATGGCTATTGACTTTACACGTCTGTTGACGACTTTCGTTTTCGTTATTCTGTTGTCTTTTTTGATAAAAAACTTGCGAGAGAATTGAAGGTTGCTTCGCTAGACTATTATAGGTGTACTTTGTTTTTTGTGTTTCTATGTCGATGTTGTGAGCGCATTTGCAGATAAGACGGATCGACAATGTCGTTAACATTACACTACATGTGTACTAAGAGGGTTGATATCAATTGAAGGATGGCATAAGTGTATGTTTATTCTGTTCTATAAATCATGGTTTACAAAGACTTGCAGAATATAGTCCAGGCTGCCAATGATATTGATAACTTTCGATTCATAGAATATGACTGGTAGCCTATCGATTGTCCTCTTGCAGGCGGGCCTGTGTCTCCAAGATAAAAATAAAGTGGAATAAATCGGATGATTACATAACAATATCATTATCAAACAGAACTATAAGGTTTATTTCCTATGCATATAGTATTCACAATTGGATCAATTGGTCTGACAAAGTTACTCGTAATATTTATAGTAAAACTTTAACTATTAAGTAACGTTCTTTGCGATCTGTACAGCAATCAATCCCAAATGTTTTTAATAGCCACCTACCACCATAGACGTTCGCCGTGATGGCTCATTTGTTTGTTGTGTTTTTGTTTGTTTTACTCTTTGATTAGCTGACAACGCGAACGAAGTATTTGCGGAAGAGATGTTCATATTAATATGGGTTTAATTGGCGGGCAAAATTTAAATAAACCAGTTTGCAAACTGAAGATGAATTTCCCTATGCTGTAAATATTGTTCGGCAGTTGTGAGCTGAAATAGCCAACGAGTAGAGATAGGCCGTTGGTACTGCTTGAGATGATATTTCAACAATGTCTTCGAATTATGTCGGATTTTATATTCATGGGGTTACCCCTATCGCTGTCTTTGTATCCACCGTGAAGATAATATGCTAGATTCAAGAGGTTTGATGGATGTTCTATTAAGAGTGAACCTGGAGACGAATTTAATTTTCCGAATGCTCCAGCTTCAAATTTAGTTATGGCAATATGTACTGAATGTATGCCGCAAGGAATCCGATGCTTGAGATCGAAAATTGATGCAACGGCGCCCGCGTTTAATCCCGACATATAGGCTGCATCATCAATAAACCAATAATTACATTCATGGGATCAAATTTATAATCCGTGCACGTTTTTAAAACAGCGTTTGCGACTTCAGTCCCGTACATCGATTTATTAACATTGGCTCTTCCTTCTTATTATTCCAATAGGCAAAACAAACTAGAAATACTTTCTTTTCCCCTTTAGTGCTTTCATCTGCCATTATTCCATACGTAAAAAAGCGTGCTTCTCTGTCTATGCTAAGATTTTCGCAGGTAAATAATCTTGGTTCCAACGGGAGTTAACGGGAGACTGCCGTTGAAAGTCATTTATCAGGTTTTTCTCCGGTCAAAAATGCATACATTTTTTTGGTACATTCCACCGTCGATGAAATTGATACAATTCCCGTGTTACTAAGTTCAGTAACCAGTTGAATAAATTGTGGTGTGTATTCTCGTTTATTTACCCTTAATCAATTTTTCGGCTTCCCTTTTAAATTGTTCTGGTGATATCTTCTTTCCTTTCTGGTTTATTGAACGAATTTTGTTTATATATCAAGCCTTAGCTCCTCCTCCCTTGATCAATTTTATTTTAAGCGAGTGGACTTGAGATTCTGTGATTTTTTTCTCTCTTCGTAAT